CACGCGACACAAGGGGCAGCGGGGTGCCGCAGGCAGGCCAGCTCGACGTCTGCGCCACAGGGCTCTGGGGCTCGGACGAAGGGGCCTCCTCGGCGTGCAGGCCCTGGGAGTCGCAGCTGGGGGAGCTCACCTTGAGGAAGAACTCTGTGCCTTTCTCCATGATCTCTTGGATCTGCAGGAAGCCGGCCGTATACATGAGCAGGAACTGGTCACCCATGTTCATGCTCAGCCGGCCCGTGTAACAGAAGCTGAGGATCTGCTGGAAGGACTGGGGCTGCACGGCTGCCGGCAACTCCACCACGGCGCTCCGGCTGCTGTTGAACAGGTCCCGGAAGTAGGAGCTGCTGGCAGCCAGCACGGCCCGGTGGGCCTTGAAGGCATGGCCCTTGACCACCACTGACACGTCACAGTACAGGCCCTGCAGCCGCTGCTCGTTGAGGCACTCCAGGATGCTGTTGCCGAAGTTCGGGATCTCCATCTGCAGGGTCTGGGCCATGGCGGCGGCGGCTGCATGGGGGACAAGGAGAGTTGGAGGGGCGGGTCAGACGGCAGACTCAGCTGGCCGCAGAGAGACACATGGGAGCACGGACATCCACGTGGTGGGGTTTGCCATGGCAGTAAGACTTGCAGGAGCCACCTACTCCTGTCCCATCCTGGCCTTGCCTGTGACACTGTCAAACCAGCTAAGTCAGCAATAGGCCAGGCTGGCTGCATGCTGTCCCTTGCAGAAAGGAGGGCAAAGGCATACTTACATAGTGCTTGAATATTAAATGAGTTAGCACAGTGAGCACCCTGGGAGCATTCACCATCACTAGCACTACACAAACAGGTTAACGTTGAAGGGCATGGACAAAAACACTGAGAAGCCAGAGTCATCCGACTTTTCACGCTGTTTTTGCAGTACTGAGCACAAGACCCTCAATCACCATTTGTTGAATGAATGAATGACCACCCAAGAAACCCTGAAAGAGCATGAACATCAATAGTCATCAGGAAAATGCAAATCCAAACCACAATGAGACACCATTTTACACCCACTAGGCTGGCAAGAATAAAAAAGATAAGTATTGGTGAGGGTGAGAAATGAACTGGAATCCTCCTACACTGCTGGTAGGAATGTAAAATGGTGCAGCTGCTGTGGAAAGCAGTTCCTCAAATGGTTAAACATAAAGTTACCATATGACCTGGTGATTCCACTTCTAGGAACTACACTTGACAAATGAAAACATATCCACCCAGAAACCTGTACATGAATGTTTGCTGCAGCACTACTGATAATAAGCAAAAGATGAAAATAACCCAAATGTTCATCCACGGATGAATGGATAAACAAAAGGTGGTCCACCCACACAATGGAATACTACTCAGCCATTAAAAGGAACGAGCTACTGGTACATGCTACAGCTTGGATAAACCTTAAAAACATGCTAAATGCAAGAAGCCAGACAAAAGGACCAAATATTATATGACCCCATTTATATGAAATGTTCAGAACAGGCAAATCCAGACACAGAAAGCAGATTAGTGGTTGCCAGGGGCTGAGGGGCTGGGCGGATTGGGATTGTGAGCAAACGGGTGCAGGGTTCTTGCCCTAACGAAAAATGTTCTGAAACTGTGGTGATGGATGCACATCTCTGAAAATACTAAAAACTACTGAACTTGTACACTTTAAATGGGTGAACTGCATGGTATGCATCTCCATAAAACTGTTGAAAGGAGAGATAGTAAGACTAATGTCCTCTGGGCAGAAGTGTGAATGAGACTTGCCATGTACACTCTTAAGAGTCTTTTAAATTTTGAACCTGGTGAATGTATTGTTTATTTACAGAAATAAATAGTATTTTAAAATAAATAAAATGTGTGAAACCACACCACAAAGATTTAATTCATGCAAATTTAACCCTGAAGTGCTTGAGGGGTGAGTGGAGAAAGAAATGTGAATTTAAGGAACTGCCTGAGCCCCTGCTCAGGGAGTCCACCCCCTGCCTGACCTGTGAGGTACCACCTGGGGGGCCCTGGCACCTCTCAATTGTGTGAACTTCTGCATCTGAGCCTATTCCATCAGTGCACATTCATACCCAGGAGGAAGAACTGGTCAAGTGAGAATGGCATGTTCCATACTCTGCAGGTAATAATCATAAAAGGGCTTTGAGGGAAGATGGGGCTTTACACGTGCCCCCACTGGTAAAAGTGAGTCCCCTGTAATTCTACAGGTGTAGAGGGCAGTGGCCCTGAATGGGCAGGGTAGGGAGAAGAAGAGGGCCTAAGCAGAGAGTCAGGCTGGCAAGAAGAAAGAGAAAGGAGAAGACTATGTGCAAAGGCCCCCAGGCAGGAACTAACTAGAGTCCCCTGTTATTCTTTCACTCCCATGTTAGCTCTCATGCTTCTTTCAGTTTTTCATTCCTTAGCAAATCCATTCTAAGCTGCCTCTGTGGGCTGAGCAGTGGGGATGCAGTGAAGACTTGGACCCTACCTGGTAACACAGGTTCATTCAGAAAGGGCTGCCTGCAGGAACAGAAAAGGCCATGTACCCATGGCTTAGAGGTGCACACTGGGGCCAGCGTAAGTCCTGGCTCCAGAACTGACTCGCTTCAGGGTCCAGAAACTCCAAACCTCTGCTTTTTTATTTGGAATAAACACTGATAATGCCAACCTGATTCTGCAAACTCAACCTGTACTCACTGAGCTGCTCCCTGTGGGAGACCCTGAGGGAGATGCAGACCCTGTCCCCCCCAGCAGGCAGACTATCAGAGGAGCTGACGTGTGACCTGCAGGAGCTCCCTGAATCCTCTTAGCAAGCCTATGGGGCTGATTTCATACTCCCAGTTCTCAACTGGGAAAACTGAGACCATGTGGAAGTTAAGGCCTATCCTGAGGTCATACACGAGTAAGCAGTAGGGACAAGATTCAAACCCTGTCTGGGCACTGAAACCCATGATTTCCCTTGGCTGTACCCTCCTCCTCCTCATCAAAATCACTGTCACCACCACGGAAAACAAAAAGGCAATCAGAAGTGGGAGGCAGAGCCAGGGAAACACTAATTAGAAGGCAGCATACACCTCCCAGGAGATCAAACTAAAGGCTGCACAGGCTGGGAGATGAGCCTCTGAATGAGGTAAGAGAAACTGAGGTACCAAGAGGAGGCAAAGGATGGAGCCCAGAGCTGCCAAACCGAAACCCCTCGGGGCTATGGGGCCCAAGTGACCAGGGACAAAGCAGCCAAGGAAGAGGCTGGCTGGCCTCTAGTCCTTGAGGGGGTGCTCTAGACCCTGGGCTTGGAAGGCTCACACCCCAAGGGGGAGGACCAAGGCAAGACAGGCATGCAGTGGAGCTAGAGCCCCTCAGACCTGCGTTCTGATGCTGTGGGACCCCAGGTCAGCCCCCCAATTCTCTGCCTCAGTCTGTTCAAATGGGGAGGAATTCATCCAACCCACCCGGATGGACTGCAAGGCACTGGGGACACAGCCCTAAAGAGGACTGGCTGTGTCCACATGGGGATCACTGTCTAGTGGGGAGACACAGGACTGATTATAGTTGGGGTGAGTATGTCACCAAGTGGCTGATCTTGGGGAGGGAGGGGGCGAGGTAAAGACAGGGAGATGGAGAGAGCAACCAACAGTTGTGGGCAGGAAGGAGCCAGGTGCAGTCTGGAGATGCCCAAGGAGACCTGAGTGGCTAGAGGGCAGCACAGGGTATGGGACAGGCAGGGCCCTGGCCTGGTGAGGATGAACATCTGAGAGTGGACAATGGGAAGCTGGAGCAAGAGAGAATGGGGCTTAGATCAGCCCTAGGACACTTCCCAGCACCAGAGGCAGGGTTGAGAGCAGGGACAGAGACAGACTGGCAGAGTGGTCAGACCCAGGAGCGAGCCTCTATGGGGAGCCAGGGCATCATTTTAAAAGTAGTAATATACAGGTACTCCTCCAAGGAGACTGTCAACTCCAGGAGGGCAGGTGTTCTGGCAGATTAGTTCATGATGAGCTGAACAGAGGTAGATGATCAATAAATATTTGTAAACATGTTATATAGTGTAGAGAGAGTGCCAAGGCGGGAACAGATGACTCCAGTCTGGGACATGGCAGCTGGAAGTGGGGGTGGTGTTGGAGGAGGGGGACAGAGGGCCAAGGAGGTGCAAATACGGAGGTGCATGCTTCTGGGGCTACAGAAGGCATTCCGAGGGGTCATCCTAAGTGCACTCAGAGTGCTGGGCACTGCTGCATGCATTTTCCAAGGGCTACATAAGTGCTCACAGCACTCCCCAGTGAGGGCTAGGATCAACCCACTTTATGGGTGGGTACCAAAGCACTGCCTGAACCATCCCAAGCTGCTGGACTTCAGGGTCTGACTCCTTCACTGGGAATTGGCATAGGATGGCTTTGTGGGGAGTGCTCAGCAGTGGGGGCACTGAGGTCCTCAGAGATGCAGGGAGTGGGGTCCCAAGGGTGAGAGCCAACCTGACATTGAGGCTGGGATCCTCAGCCCTCGTGAACCCCATGGGGCCTGAGCACCCAGTATCCAGGGCTTTGAAGCCTTCCACCAATTGGTTGGGGCAGGGGAAGCACACAACTTGTGCAAAATGGTAATACAATCAGTGCGCAGGAACCCCCCTACAGTGATGGGGAGTAGGGTGGTAGGCCTGCCTCACTGCCCCTGCAAATAGGACAGGGTAGGGAGAGGATGGGGTTGGAAGAGGCCACTGGAGACCCCAGAGACCCACCCTGGGCTGCCCTCCCTCTCATGGCCCGTTCCAGTCTGCAGGACTCAGAAGGAACCACGGCCCGTGGTCTGGTGGCAGCCCCTCTCCTACCCCAGCCCCGAGGGAGGAGCTGTGGAACCATGATCTGGCTCCCAGGAGAAACGGGTCTAACGCAGCTGCTGCCTGGCCTGGGTCACCTGCTGGTTGGGAACTGGGAGAACAAGAGCCAGGGGTCAGGCTCTCTAAGCCACCCAATGACTCTGCCCCCACCCACACTGCACAGTTCCCCTCAGTCAGACCTTTGCCCAAGCCGTGCACCTTCCTGGGGTGACCTTCTTCTCCTGCTGCCGTGTCTTCCTCCTCCAGCCTCAGCTACCCCCTGCTCTGAGAACTCTCCAGACTAGAGAAGAGGCCCTCTTCTGCACTCCTCCTACCCCCAGCCCTGGCACCATTATGCTTACCTCCAAGAACACTAAATACCACTTGCCTATAAACTCCCCAAGGGCAGAAAACTGTATTTGAATGCTCTCTTCTCACAACTTGGCACGTCAGCCTGCGCATCTTCTGGGGTCCCCAGATCCCCCCAGAGGGGAGGGGTGGCCTTCAGTCCCACACAAGGCCAATGGGACCCTTCCAGCATCACTGCCCCCATCCCTGGACGACAGTGGGTTTCCCAGCGAGACGCAAGGGCACGACACGCGGTTTCCATGACCACTCAACAGTCACTCAACAAATATTTGCCAAGTGCCTGCCTGGGGCAGGCCACAACTAATACAAGGCCCTGCCTCCAGAGCTCATGGTCCAGAAAGAG